GGCACTGTCAAACGTGAAACCGGAACAACGCTCTGTAATAATGCATTGCGGACCTGAACGCCGCGCTTTAGACCACTCAGGAATCCTAACCTATGAAAGATCTTTTGCCTTACATTTAGTTTATGAAAACTAAAAAATAATGACTCAATAAAATTACATTATCGTGGGATTCGAACCCACGCCAAAAACCGAGTGGGATTTCGACATGAACGCAGCACCTTTGACTGCTTGGCCAGCCTGAAATTTGAAAAGTTTCCTTTAATTTACTTTATGAGAACTAATAAAAATAACTCAACTAAATATAATTGCTTGATCGGGTTATGGACCCTGAACACGCAAAGCGGACTGCGACCTGATTGCAGCGCCTTAGACCGCTCGGCGATCCTGACACGCGAGAGCGTTTCTTACATTTAAGTTATGAGAACTAAAAAAATGACTGAATAAAATTCTATTGTCAGAAGTGGGATTCGAACACACGCCCACAGAAGTGGACTGCGACTCTGAACGCAGCGCCTTAGACCGCTCGGCCATCCTGACACGAAAATAATTTTCCTTGCATTTAGTTCTTTAACCTCAAAAAATGACTGAATAGAAATACATTGTCAGAAGTGGGATTCAAACCCACGCCCACACAAGTAAACTGCGACCTGAACGCAGCGCCTTAGACCGCTCGGCCATCCTGAAACGTGGGAGAGTGTTACACTTTCATTTAATTAATGAGAACTTAAAAATGAATGAATGAAATATAATTGTCAAACGTGAAATCCGAAACAACGCCGCACACATTGCGACCTGAACGCCGCGCTTTAGACCACTCAGGAATCTTTAACCTATGAAAGATCTTTGCCTTACATTTAGTTTATGAAAACTAAAAAAATAATGACTCAATAAAAATTACATGATCAGAAGTGGGATTCAAAAACCCACGCCAAATCCGAGTGGACTTCGACATGAAACGCAGCGCCTTTGACCGCTTGGCCATCCTGGAAATTTGAGGAAACGTTTCCTTTAATTTACTTTATGAGAACTAAAAAAAATAACTAAATATAATTGCTCGACTTAGGAGTTGGACCCCCGAACACGCAAGTGTACTGCGACCTGATTGCAGCGCCTTCAACCGCTCGGCCATCCAGACACGTGCGAGAGCATTTCCTTACATTTAAGTTATGAGAACTAAAAAAAATGACTGAATAAAATTCTATTGTCAGAAGTGGGAATCGAACCCACGCCCACAGGAGTGGAAGGTGATCTAAACGCAGCGCCTTAGACTGATCGGCAAAACCTGACATGTAAAAGTGTTTTCCTTACATTTAGTTTTTGGAACCTAAGAAAAGTATGTGAATAAAATTTTATTGTCAGAAGTGGATTCGAACCCACGTCCAAAGAAGTGGACTGCGACCTGAATGCAGCGCCTTAGACCGCTCGGCCATCCTGACACGCAAAATAGCTTTCCCTTGCATGTAGTTTTTAACCTCAAAAAATGACTGAAAGAAATACATTGTCAGAAGTGGGATTCAAACCCACGCCCAAGCAAGTGGACTAGGACCTGATTGCAGCGCCTTAAACCGCTCGGCCATCCTGACACACAAAAAATAGCTTTAACCCTTCTTTACCTTGCATTTAGCGTTCTTTAGCTCAAAAATGACAATAGAAATACATTGTCAGAAGTGGGATCTAAACGCAGCGCCTTCGAAAACCCACGCCCACTAAGAAAAGTATGTGAATAAAATTTTATTGTCAGAAGGGATTCGAACACGCCCACAGAAGTGGTGGACTGCTACCTGAACGCAGCGCCTTAGATCGCTCGGCCATCCTGAAACGTGGGAGAGTGTTACCTTCATTTAATTAATGAGAACTTAAAAATGAATGAATGAAATATAATTGTCAAACGTGAAATCCGAAACAATGCCTGCAGAATTTTACTGCGACCTGAACGCCGCGCTTTAGACCACTCAGGAATCTTAACCTATGAAAGATCTTTTGCCTTACATTTAGTTTATAAAACTAAAAAAAAATAATGACTCAATAAAATTACATTATCAGAAGTGGGATTCGAACCCACGCCAAAACCGAGTGGACTTCGACATGAACGCAGCACCTTGACTGAGCCAGCCTGAAATTTGAGAAAACGTTTCCTTTTAATTTACTTTATGAGAACTAAAAAAAAATATCAACTAAATATAATTGCTTGACATGGGTTATGGACCCCGAACACGCAAGTGGACTGCGACCTGATTGCAGCGCCTTGACCGCTCGGCGATCCTGACACGTGCGAGAGCGTTTCCTTACATTTAATTTATGAGAACTAAAAAAATGACTGAATAAAATTCTATTGTCAGAAGTGGGACTCGAACCCACGCCCACAGGAGTGGAAGGTGATCTAAACGCAGCGCCTTAGACCGATCGGCAAACCTGACATGTGAAAGTGTTTTCCCTTACATTTAGTTTTGGAACCTAAGAAAAGTATGTGAATAAAATTTTATTGTCAGAAGTGGATTCGAACCCACGCCCACACGCAAGTGGACTGCGACCTGATTGCAGCGCCTTAAACCGCTCGGCCATCCTGACACGCAAAAATAGCTTTACCTTGCATGTAGTTTTTTAACCTCAAAAAATGACTGAAAGAAATACATTGACAGAAGTGGGATTCAAACCCACGCCCAAGCAAGTGGACTAGGACCTGATTGCAGCGCCTTAAAACCGCTCGGCCATCCTGACACACAAAATAGCTTTACCTTGCATTTAGTTCTTTAACCTCAAAAATGACAATAGAAATACATTGTCAGAAGTGGGATTCAAACCCACGCCCACGCAAGTGGACTGCTACCTGAACGCAGCGCCTTAGATCGCTCGGCCATCCTGAAACGTGGGAGAGTGTTACCTTTCATTTAATTAATGAGAACTTAAAAAATGAATGAATGAAATATAATTGTCAAACGTGAAATCCGAAACAACGCCTGCACAATTTTACTGCGACCTGAACGCCGCGCTTTAGACCACTCAGGAATCTTAACCTATGAAAGATCTTTGCCTTACATTTAGTTTATGAAAACTAAAAAAAAATAATGACTCAATAAAATTACATTATCAAAAGTGGAATTCGAACCCACGCCAAAACCGAGTGGACTTCGACATGAACGCAGCACCTTTGACTGCTTGGCCAGCCTGAAATTTGAGAAAAAGTTTCCTTTAATTTACTTTATGAGAACTAAAAAAAAAATAACTCAACTAAATATAATTGCTTGACATGGGTTATGGACCCCCGAACACGCAAGTGGACTGCGACCTGATTGCAGCGCCTTAGACCGCTCGGCGATCCTGACACGTGCGAGAGCGTTTCCTTACATTTAAGTTATGAGAACTAAAAAAAAATGACTGAATAAAATTCTATTGTCAGAAGTGGGATTCGAACCCACGCCCACAGGAGTGGAAGGTGATCTAAACGCAGCGCCTTAGACCGATCGGCAAACCTGACATGTGAAAGTGTTTTCCCTTACATTTAGTTTTTGGAACCTAAGAAAAGTATGTGAATAAAATTTTATTGTCAGAAGTGGGATTCGAACCCACGCCCACGCAAGTGGACTAGGACCTGATTGCAGCGCCTTAAACCGCTCGGCCATCCTGACACGCAAAATAGCTTTACCTTGCATGTAGTTTTTAACCTCAAAAAATGACTGAAAGAAATACATTGTCAGAAGTGGATTCAAACCCACGCCCAAGCAAGTGGACTAGGACCTGATTGCAGCGCCTTAAAACCGCTTCCGGCCATCCTGACACAAAATAGCTTTACCTTTGCATTTAGTTCTTTAACCTCAAAAAATGACAATAAAAATACATTGTCAGAAGTGGGATTCAAACCCACGCCCACACAAGTGGACTGCGACCTGAACGCAGCGCCTTAGACCGCTCGGCCATCCTGAAACGTGGGAGAGTGTTACCTTTCTTTTAAGTAATGAGAACTGAAAAAATGAATGAATGAAATATAATTGTCAAACGTGAAATCCGAAACAACGCCTGCACAATTTTACTGCGACCTGAACGCCGCGCTTTAGACCACTCAGGAATCTTAACCTATGAAAGATCTTTGCCTTACATTTAGTTTATGAAAACTAAAAAAAAATAATGACTCAATAAAATTACATTATCAAAAGTGGAATTCGAACCCACGCCAAAACCGAGTGGACTTCGACATGAACGCAGCACCTTTGACTGCTTGGCCAGCCTGAAATTTGAGAAAAAGTTTCCTTTAATTTACTTTATGAGAACTAAAAAAAAAAAAAAAAAACTCAACTAAATATAATTGCTCGACATGGGTTATGGACCCCGAACACGCAAGTGGACTGCGACCTGATTGCAGCGCCTTAGATCGCTCGGCCATCCTAACACGTGCGAGAGCGCTTCCTTACATTTAAGTTATGAGAACTAAAAAAAAAAGACTGAATAAAATCTTATTGTCAGAAGTGGGAATCGAACCCACCCACAGAAGTAGAATGTGATCTAAACTCAGCGCCTTAGACCGATCGGCCATCCTGACATGTGGATGAGTTTTAACTTACATTTAGTTTTTGGAACCTAAGAAAAGTATGTGAATAAAATTTTATTGTCAGAAGTGGGATTCGAACCCACGCCCACAGAAGTGGACTGCGACCTGAACGCAGCGCCTTAGACGGCTCGGCCATCCTGACACGCAAAATAGCTTTCCCTTGCATGTAGTTTTAACTTCAAAAAATGACTGAAAGAAATACATTGTCAGAAGTAGGATTCGAACCCACGCCCACGCAAGTGGACTAGGACCTGATTGCAGCGCCTTAAACCGCTCGGCCATCCTGACACGCAAAAATAGCTTTACCTTGCATTTAGTTCTTTAACCTCAAAAATGACAATAGAAATACATTGTCAGATGTGGGATTCAAACCCACGCCCACACAAGTGGACTGCGACCTGAACGCAGCGCCTTAGACGCTCGGCTATCCTGAAACGTGGGAGAGCGTTACCTTTCATTTAATTAATGAGAACTTAAAAAAATGAATGAATGAAATATAATTGTCAAACGTGAAATTCGAAACAATGCCTGCAGAATTTTACTGCGACCTGAACGCCGCGCTTTAGACCACTCAGGAATCTTAACCTATGAAAGATCTTTGCCTTACATTTAGTTTATGAAAACTAAAAAAAAAAAAAAATGACTCAATAAATTACATTATCAGAAGGGGGATTCGAACCCACGCCAAAACCGAGTGGACTTCGACATGAACGCAGCACCTTTGACTGCTTGGCCAGCCTGAAATTTGAGAAAACGTTTCCTTTAATTTACTTTATGAGAACTAAAAAAAAAAATAACTCAACAAAATATAATTGCTTGACGTGGGTTATGGACCCCCGAACACGCAAGTGGACTGCGACCTGATTGCAGCGCCTTAGACCGCTCGGCGATCCTGACACGTGCGAGAGCGTTTCCTTACATTTAAGTTATGAGAACTAAAAAAAAGGACTGAAAAAATTTTTTATTGTCAGAAGTGGATTCGAACCCACGCCCACAGAAGTGGACTGCGACCTGAACGCAGCGCCTTTGACCGTTCGGCCATCCTGACACGCAAAATAGCTTTCCCTTGTTTAAAGTTTTTTAACCTCAAAAAATGACTGAAAGAAATACATCGTCAGAAGCGGGATTCGAACCCACGCCCACAGAAGTGGAATGCGATCTAAACGCAACGCTTTAGACCGATCGGCCATCCTGATATGTGAAAGAGATTTTCCTTAAATTTAGTTTTTGGAACCTAAAAAAAATAAATGAATAAATTATTATTGTCAGAAATGGGATTCGAACCCACGCCCACAGAAGTGGTCTGTGACCTGAACGCAGCGCCTTAGACTGCACGGCCATCCTGACACGTGGGGGAGTGTTTCCTTTCATTTAATTAATGAGAACTAAAAAAATGGATGAATGAATTATAATTGTCAAACGTGGAATCTGAAACCACGCCTGCAGAATTTTACTGCGACCTAAACGGAGCGCTTTAGACTGCTCAGGAATCTTAACCTATGAAAGATCTTTGCCTTACATTTAGTTTATGAAAACTAAAAAAAAAAAATGACTCAATAAATTACATTATCAGAAGTGGGATTCGAACCCACGCCAAAACCGAGTGGACTTCGACATGAACGCAGCACATTTGACTGCTTGGCCAGCCTGAAATTTGAGAAAACGTTTCCTTTAATTTACTTTATGAGAACTAAAAAAAAATAACTCAACTAAATATAATTGCTTGACGTGGGTTATGGACCCCCGAACACGCAAGTGGACTGCGACCTGATTGCAGCGCCTTAGACCGCTCGGCGATCCTGACACGTGCGAGAGCGTTTCCTTACATTTAAGTTATGAGAACTAAAAAAAAGGACTGAAAAATTTTTATTGTCAGAAGTGGGATTCGAACCCACGCCCACAGAAGTGGACTGCGACCTGAACGCAGCGCCTTTGACCGCTCGGCCATCCTGACACGCAAAATAGCTTTCCCTTGTTTAAAGTTTTTTAACCTCAAAAAATGACTGAAAGAAATATATTGTCAGAAGTGGAATTCGAACCAACGCCCACGCAAGTGGACTACGACCTGATTGCAGCGCCTTAAACCGCTCGTCCATCATGACACGCAAAATAGCTTTCCCTTGCATTTAGTTCTTTAACTTCAAAAAATGACTGAATAGAAATGCATTGTGAGAAGTGGGATTCGAACCCACGCCCACACAAGTGGACTGCGACCTGAACGCAGCGTTTTAGACTGCTCGGCCATCCTGAAATTTGAGAAAATGTTCCCTTTAATTTACTTTATGAGAACTAAAAAAAATAACTCAACTAAATATAATTGCTCGACGTGGAGTTGGACCCCCGAACGCGCAAGTGGACTTCGACCTGATTGCAGCGCCTTAGACCGCTCGGCCATCCTAACACGTGCGAGAGCGTTTCCTTACATTTAAGTTATGAGAAATAAAAAAAAAAAGACTGAATAAAATTTTATTGTCAGAAGTGGGAATCGAACCCACGCAAACAGAAGTGGACTGCGACCTGAACGCAGCGCCTTAGACGGCTCGGCCATTCTGACACTTAAAAGATCTTTCCCTTGCATTTAGTTCTTTAACTTTAAAAGATGACTGAATAGAAATACATTGTCAGAAGTGGGATTCAAACCCACGCCCAAGCAAGTGGACTGCGACCTGATTGCAGCGCTTTAAACCGCTCGGCCATCGTGACACGCAAAATAGCTTTCCCTTGCATTTAGTTCTTTAACCTCAAAAAATGACTGAATAGAAATACATTGTCAGAAGCGGAATTCGAACCCACGCCCACAGAAGAGGAATGCGATCTAAACGCAACGCTTTAGACCGATCGGCCATCCTGATATGTGAAAGAGATTTTCCTTAAATTTAGTTTTTGGAACCTAAAAAAAATAAATGAATAAATTATTATTGTCAGAAATGGGATTCGAACCCACGCCCACAGAAGTGGTCTGTGACCTGAACGCAGCGCCTTAGACTGCACGGCCATCCTGACACGTGGGGGAGTGTTTCCTTTCATTTAATTAATGAGAACTAAAAAAATGGATGAATGAATTATAATTGTCAAACGTGGAATCTGAAACCACGCCTGCAGAATTTTACTGCGACCTAAACGGAGCGCTTTAGACTGCTCAGGAATCTTAACCTATGAAAGATCTTTGCCTTACATTTAGTTTATGAAAACTAAAAAAAAAATGACTCAATAAATTACATTATCAGAAGTGGGATTCGAACCCACGCCAAAACCGAGTGGACTTCGACATGAACGCAGCACATTTGACTGCTTGGCCAGCCTGAAATTTGAGAAAACGTTTCCTTTAATTTACTTTATGAGAACTAAAAAAAAATAACTCAACTAAATATAATTGCTTGACGTGGGTTATGGACCCCCGAACACGCAAGTGGACTGCGACCTGATTGCAGCGCCTTAGACCGCTCGGCGATCCTGACACGTGCGAGAGCGTTTCCTTACATTTAAGTTATGAGAACTAAAAAAAAAGGACTGAAAAAATTTTTATTGTCAGAAGTGGGATTCGAACCCACGCCCACAGAAGTGGACTGCGACCTGAACGCAGCGCCTTAGACTGCTCGGCCATCCTGACAAGTGGGCGAGTGTTTCCTTTCATTTAATTAATGAGAACTAAAAAAATGGATGAATGAATTATAATTGTCAAACGTGGAATCCGAAACCACGCCTGCAGAATTTTATTGCGACCTAAACGGAGCGCTTTAGACTGCTCAGGAATCTTAACCTATGAAAGATCTTTGCCTTACATTTAGTTTATGAAAACTAAAAAAATAATGACTGAATAAAATTACATTATCAGAAGTGGGATTCGAACCCACGCCAAAAGCGAGTGGAAATCGACATGAACGCAGCACCTTTGACCGCTTGGCCATCCTGAAATTTGAGAAAACGTTTCCTTTAATTTACTTTATGAGATTTAAAAAAAATAACTAAATATAATTGCTCGACGTGGGTTGATTGATTGATTGAATATTAACGTCGCACTGTTCAGCTACACGAGGGCTTTTGGCTAAGGACCACGTAATTTTAAACCATGGTCAAGTGACGTGGACGACACCTGATCTTGCACCAGCCTCTCCTAACTACCACACCACACCAACGGGAGGACGTTCCAGCTCTCGACAGATTTAACGTGCATCGCTGCCCTACACGGCGGGTCTTTTGTGACCGCTTGGCCGTGACAAAGCAAGCCACGGTCCGATACCAATACCACTCGGCTACCGCGGCCTGCTCGACGTGTGAGTTGGACCCCCGAACACGTAAGTGTACTGCGACCTGATTGCAGCGCCTTAGACCGCTCGGCCATCCAGACACGTGCGAGAGCACATTTCCTTACATTTAAGTTATGAGAACTAAAAAAAAATGACTGAATAAAATTCTATTGTCAGAAGTGGGACTCGATCGCAAGCCCACAGAAGAGGAATGTGATCTAAACGCAGCGCCTTAGACCCATCGGCCATCCTGACATATGAAAGAGTTTTCCCTTACATTTAGTTTTTGGAACCTAAGAAAAGTATGTGAATAAAATTTTATTGTCAGAAGTGGGATTCGAACCCACGTCCAAAAAAGTGGACTGCGACCTGAACGTAGCGCCTTAGACCGCTCGGCCATCCTGACACGCAAAATAGCTTTCCCTTGCATAAAGTTTTTTAACCTCAAAAAATGACTGAAAGAAATACATTGTCAGAAGTGGAATTCGAACCAACGCCCACGCAAGTCTACTACGACCTGATTGCAGCGCCTTAAACTGCTCGTCCATCCTGACACGCAAAATAGCCTTCCCTTGCAGTTAGTTCTTTAACCTCTAAAAATGACTGAATAGAAATGCATTTTCAGAAGTGGGATTCGAACCCACGCCCACACAAGTGGACTGCGACCTGAACGCAGCGCCTTAGACCGCTCGGCCATCCTGACACGTGGGAGAGTGTTTCCTTTCATTTAATTAATGCGAACTAAAAAAATGGATGAATGAATTATAATTGTCAAACGTGGAATCCGAAACCACGCCTGCAGAATTTTATTGCGACCTAAACGGAGCGCTTTAGACTGCTCAGGAATCTTAACCTATGAAAGATCTTTGCCTTACATTTAGTTTATGAAAACTAAAAAAATAATGACTGAATAAAATTACATTATCAGAAGTGGGATTCGAACCCACGCCAAAAGCGAGTGGAAATCGACATGAACGCAGCGCCTTTGTCCGCTTGGCCATCCTGAAATTTGAGAAAACGTTTCCTTTAATTTACTTTATGAGATTTAAAAAAAATAACTAAATATAATTGCTCGACATGGGTTGATTGATTGATTGAATATTAACGTCGCACTGTTCAGCTACACGAGGGCTTTTGGCGACTGACCTCGTAATTTTAAACCATGGTCAAGAGACGTGGACGACACCTGAGCTGGCACCCCCCTCTCCTAACTACCACACCAACGGGAGGACGTTTCAGCTCTCGACAGATTTAACGTGCATCGCTGCCCTACACGGCGGGTCTTTTGTGGTACTGGGCTCGATCCCGTGACAAAGCAAGCCACGGTCCGATACCTATACCACTCGGCTACCGCGGCCTGCTCGACGTGGGAGTTGGACCCCCGAACACGCAAGTGTACTGCGACCTGATTGCAGCGCCTTAGACCGCTCGGCCATCCAGACACGTGCGAGAGCACATTTCCTTACATTTAAGTTATGAGAACTAAAAAAAAATGACTGAATAAAATTCTATTGTCAGAAGTGGGACTCGAACGCAAGCCCACAGAAGAGGAATGTGATCTAAACGCAGCGCCTTAGACCGATCGGCCATCCTGACATATGAAAGAGTTTTCCCTTACATTTAGTTTTTGGAACCTAAGAAAAGTATGTGAATAAAATTTTATTGTCAGAAGTGGGATTCGAACCCACGCCCAAAGAAGTGGACTGCGACCTGAACGTAGCGCCTTAGACCGCTCGGCCATCCTGACACGCAAAATAGCTTTCCCTTGCATAAAGTTTTTTAACCTCAAAAAATGACTGAAAGAAATACATTGTCAGAAGTGGAATTCGAACCAACGCCCACGCAAGTGGACTACGACCTGATTGCAGCGCCTTAAACTGCTCGTCCATCCTGACACGCAAAATAGCCTTCCCTTGCAGTTAGTTCTTTAACCTCTAAAAATGACTGAATAGAAATGCATTTTCAGAAGTGGGATTCGAACCCACGCCCACACAAGTGGACTGCGACCTGAACGCAGCGCCTTAGACCGCTCGGCCATCCTGACACGTGGGAGAGTGTTTCCTTTCATTTAATTAATGAGAACTTAAAAAAATGAATAAATGAAATATAATTGTCAAATGTGGAATCCAAAACCACGCCTGCAGAATTTTACTGCGACCTAAACGGAGCGCTTTAGACTGCTCAGGAATCTTAACCTATGAAAGATCTTTGCCTTACATTTAGTTTATGAAAACGAAAAAAAAAATGACTCAATAAATTACATTATCAGAAGTGGGATTCGAACCCACGCCAAAACCGAGGAAACTTCGACATGAACGCAGCACCTTTGACTGCTTGGCCATCCTGAAATTTGAGAAAACGTTTCCTTTAATTTACTTTATGAGAACTAAAAAAAATAACTAAATATAATTGCTCGACGTGGGTTGATTGATTGATCGAATATTAACGTCGCACTGTTCAGCTACACGAGGGCTTTTGGCGACTGACCACGTAATTTTAAACCATGGTCAAGAGGCGTGGACGACACCTGAGCTGGCACCCCCCTCTCCTAACTACCACACCAACGGGAGGACGTTTCAGCTCTCGACAGTTTTAACGTGCATCGCTGCCCTACACGGCGGGTCTTTTGTGGTACTGGGCTCGATCCCGTGACAAAGCAAGCCACGGTCCGATACCTATACCACTCGGCTACCGCGGCCTGCTCGACGTGGGAGTTGGACCCCCGAACACGCAAGTGTACTGCGACCTGATTGCAGCGCCTTAGACCGCTCGGCCATCCAGACACGTGCGAGAGCATTTCCTTACATTTAAGTTATAAGAACTAAAAAAAAATGACTGAATAAAATTCTATTGTCAGAAGTGGGACTCGAACCCACGCCCACAGAAGAGGAATGTGATCTAAACGCAGCGCCTTAGACCGATCGGCCATCCTGACATGTGAAAGAGTTTTCCCTTACATTTAGTTTTTGGAACCTAAGAAAAGTATGTGAATAAAATTTTATTGTCAGAAGTGGGATTCGAACCCACGCCCACAGAAGTGGACTGCGACCTGAACGCAGCGCCTTAGACCGCTCGGCCATCCTGACACGCAAAATAGCTTTCCCTTGCATAAAGTTTTTTAACCTCAAAAAATGACTGAAAAAATACATTGTCAGAAGTGGGATTCGAACCAACGCCCACGCAAGTGGACTACGACCTGATTGCAGCGCCTTAAACTGCTCGTCCATCCTGACACGCAAAATAGCTTTCCCTGCATATAGTTCTTTAATCTCTAAAAATGACTGAATAGAATCGCGTTGACAGAAGTGGGCTTCGAACCCACGCCCACACAAGTGGACTGCTCGGAAATCCTGAAATTTGAGAAAATGTTCCCTTTAATTTACTTTATGAGAACTAAAAAAAAATAACTCAACTAAATATAATTGCTCGACGTGGGAGTTGGTCCCCCGAACACGCAAGTGTACTGCGACCTGATTGCAGCGCCTTAGACCGCTCGGCCATCCAGACACGTGCGAGAGCATTTCCTTACATTTAAGTTATGAGAACTAAAAAAAAAATTGACTGAATAAATGTCTATTGTCAGAAGTGGGACTCGAACCCACGCCCACAGAAGTGGAATGTGATCTTAACGCAGCGCCTTAGACCGATCGGCCATCCTGACATGTAAAAGAGTTTTTCCTTACATTTAGTTTTTGGAACCTAAGAAAAGTATGTGAATAAAATTTTATTGTCAGAAGTGGGATTCGAACCCACGACAAAAAAGAAATGGACTGCGACCTGAACGCAGCGCCTTAGACCGCTCGGCCATCCTGACACGCAAAATAGCTTTCCTTGCATAAAGTTTTTAACCTCAAAAAATGACTAAAAGAAATACATTGCCAGAAGTGGATTCGAACCAACGCCCACATAAGTGGACTGCGACCTTAACGCAGCGCCGTAGACCGCTCGGCCATCCTGACACGCAAAATAGCTTTCCCTTGCATTTAGTTCTTTAACCTCTAAAAATGGCTGAATAAAAATGCATTGTCAGAAGTGGGATTCGAACCCACGCCCACACAAGTGGACTGCGACCTGAACGCAGCGCTTTAGACCGCTCGGCCATCCTGACACGTGGGAGAGTGTTACCTTTCATTTAATTAATGAGAACTTAAAAAATGAATGAATGAAATATAATTGTCAAACGTGAAATCCGAAACCTCGCCTGCAGAATTTTACTGCGAACTGAACGGAGCGCTTTAGACCACTCAGGAATCTTAACCTATGAAAGATCTTTGCCTTACATTTAGTTTATGAAAACTAAAAAAAATAATGACTCAATAAATTACATTATCAGAAGTGGGATTCGAACCCACGCCAAAACCGAGTGGACTTCGACATGAACGCAGCACCTTTGACTGCTTGGCCAGCCTGAAATTTGAGAAACTGTTTCCTTTAATTTACTTTTTATGAGAACTAAAAAAAAATAACTAAATATAATTGCTGGACGTGGGATTTGAACCCCGAACACGCAAGTGGACTGCGACCTGATTGCAGCGCCTTAGACCGCTCGGCGATCCTGACACGTGCGAGAGCGTTTCCTTACATTTAAGTTATGAGAACTAAAAAAATGACTGAATAAATTTTATTGTCAGAAGTGGGATTTGACCCACGCCCACAGAAGTGGACTGCGACCTGAACGCAGCGCCTTAGACCGCTCGGCCATCCTGACACGCAAAATAGCTCTCCCTTGCATAAAGTTTTTTAACCTCAAAAAATGACTGAAAGAAATACATTGTCAGAAGTGGGATTCGAACCAACGCCCACGCAAGTGGACTACGACCTGATTGCAGCGCCTTTAACCGCTCGTCCATCCTGACACGCAAAATAGCTTTCCCTTGCATTTAGTTCTTTAACCTCTAATAATGACTGAATAGAAATGCATTGTCAGAAGTGGGATTCGAACCCACGCCCACACAAGTGGACTGCGACCTGCCCACCTGATGCCATTTTGCGTGTCAGGATGGCCGAGCGGTCTAAGGCGCTGCGTTCAGGTCGCAGTCCACTTCCGTTGGCGTGGGTTCGAATCCACTCCCTGAAAATAAAATTTTATTCACATACTTTTCTTAGGTTCCAAAAACTAAATGTAAGGGAAAACTCTTTCACATGTCAGGATGGCTGATCGGTCTAAGGCGCTGCGTTTAGATCACATTCCACTTCTGTGGGCGTGGGTTCGAATCCCACTTCTGACAATAGAGTTTTATTCAGACATTTTTTTTAGTTCTCATAACTTAAATATAGGAAATGCTCTCGCACATGTCTGGATGGCCGAGCGGTCTAAGGCGCTGCAATCAGGTCGCAGTACATTGCGTGTTCGGGGTCCAACTCCCACGTCGAGCAGGCCGCGGTAGCCGAGTGGTATAGGTATCGGACCGAGGCTTGCTTTGTCACGGATCGAGCCCAGTACCACAAAAAGACCCGCCGTGTAGGGCAGCGATGCACGTTAAATCTGTCGAGAGCTGAAACGTCCTCCCGTTGGTGTGGTAGTTAGGAGAGGGGGGTGCCAGCTCAGGTGTCGTCCACGTCTCTTGACCATGGTTTAAAATTACGAGGTCAGTCGCCAAAAGCCCTCGTGTAGCTGAACAGTGCGACGTTAATATTCAATCAATCAATCAACCCACGTCGAGCAATTATATTTAGTTATTTTTTTTAGTTCTCATAAAGTAAATTAAAGGAAACGTTTTCTCAAATTTCAGGATGGCCAAGCGGTCAAAGGCGCTGCGTTCATGTCGATTTCCACTCTGTTTTGGCGTGGGTTCGAATCCCACTTCTGATAATATAAGGTCCACGTGTATGGCATCCTGACACGTGGGAGAGTGTTTCCTTTCATTTAATTAAAGAGAACTTAAAAAAATGAATGAATGAAATATAATTGTCAAATGTGGAATCCGAAACCACGCCTGCAGAATTTTACTGCGACCTGAACGCAGCGCTTTCGACCACTCAGGAATCTTAACCTATGAAAGATCTTTGCCTTACATTTAGTTTATGAAAACTAAAAAAATTAATGACTCAATAAAATTACATGATCAGAAGTGGGATTCGAACCCTCGCCAAAACCGGAAAGACTTCGACATGAACGCAGCGCCTTTGACCGCTTGGCCATTCAGAAATTTGAGAAAACGTTACCTTTAATTTACTTTATGAGAACTAAAAAAAATAACTCAACTAAATATAATTGCTCGACGTGGGAGTTGGACCCCCGAACACGCAAGTGTACTGCGACTTGATTGCAGCGCCTTAGACCGCTCGGCCATCCTAACACGTGCGAGAGCGTTTCCTTACATTTAAGTTATGACAACTAAAAAAAAAAAAAGACTGAATAAAATTTTATTGTCAGAAGTGTGAATCGAACCCACGCCCACAGAAACGGAATGTGATCTAAACGCAGCGCCTTAGACCGATCTGCCAACCTGACAAGTGAAAGAGTTTTCCATTACATTTAGTTTTTGGAACCTAAGAAAAGTATGTGAATAAAATTTTATTGTCAGAAGTTGGGATTCGAACACACGCCCACATAAGTGGACTGCGACCTTAACGCAGCGCCGTAGACCGCTCGGCCATCCTGACACGCAAAATAGCTTTCCCTTGCATTTAGTTCTTTAACCTCTAAAAATGACTGAATAAAAATGCATTGTCAGAAGTGGGATTCGAACCCACGCCCACACAAGTGGACTGCGACCTGAACGCAGCGCCTTAGACCGCTCGGCCATCCTGACACGTGGGAGAGTGTTACCTTTCATTTAATTAATGAGAACTTAAAAAATGAATGAATGAAATATAATTGTCAAACGTGAAATCCGAAACCTCGCCTGCAGAATTTTACTTCGAACTGAACGGAGCGCTTTAGACCACTCAGGAATCTTAACCTATGAAAGATCTTTGCCTTACATTTAGTTTATGAAAACTAAAAAAATAATGACTCAATAAAATTATATTATCAGAAGTGGGATTCGAACCCCGCCAAAACCGAGTGGACTTCGACATGAACGCAGCGCCGTTGACCGCTTGGCCATCCTGAAGATTGATAAAACGTTTCCTTTAATTTACTTTATGACAATTAAAAAAAATATCTAAATATAATTGCTCGACGTGGGAGTTGGTCCCCCGAACACGCAAGTGTACTGCGACCTGATTGCAGCGCCTTAGACCGCTCGGCCATCCAGACACGTGCGAGAGTATTTCCTTACATTTAAGCTATGAGAACTAAAAAAATGACTGAATAAAATTCTATTGTCAGAAGTGGGACTCGAACCCACGCCCACAGAAGTGGAATGTGATCTAAACGCAGCGCTTTAGACCGATCGGCATTCCTGACATGTGAAAGAGTTTTGCCTTACATTTAGTTTTTGGAACCTAAGAAAAGTATGTGAATAAAATTTTATTGTCAGAAGTGGGATTCGAACCCACGCCCAAAGAAGTGGACTGCGACCTGAACGCAGCGCCTTAGACCGCTCGGCCATCCTGACACGCAAAATAGCTTTCCCTTGCATAAAGTTATTTAACCTCAAAAAATGACTAAAAGAAATACATTGTCAGAAGTGGGATTGAACCAAACGCAAGTGGACATCGACCTGATTGCCACGCCTTAAACTGCTCGTCCATCCTGACACGCAAAATAGCTTTCCCTTGCATTTAGTTCTTTAACCTCTAAAAATGACTGAATAAAAATGCATTGTCAGAAGTGGGATTCGAACCCACGCCCACACAAGTGGACTGCGACCTGAACGCAGCGCCTTAGACCGCTCGGCCATCCTGACACGTGGGAGAGTGTTACCTTTCATTTAATTAATGAGAACTTAAAAAATGAATGAATGAAATATAATTGTCAAACGTGAAATCCGAAACCTCGCCTGCAGAATTTTACTGCGAACTGAACGGAGCGCTTTAGACCACTCAGGAATCTTAACCTATGAAAGATCTTTGCCTTACATTTAGTTTATAAAACAAAAAATTAATGACTCAATAATATTACATGATCAGAAGTGGGATTCGAACCCTCGCCAAAACCGGAAAGGCTTCGATTTGAACGCAGCGCCTTTGACCGCTTGGCCATTCAGAAATTTGAGAAAACGTTACCTTTAATTTACTTTATGAGAACTAAAAAAATAACTCAACTAAATATAATTGCTCGACGTGGGAGTTGGACCCCGAACACGCAAGTGTACTGCGACCTGATTGCAGCGCCTTAAACCGCTCGGCCATCCTAACACGTGCGAGAGCGTTTCCTTACATTTAAGTTATGACAACTAAAAAAAAAAAGACTGAATAAAATTTTATTGTCAGAAGTGGGAATCGAACCCACGCCCACAGAAACGGAATGTGATCTAAACGCAGCGCCTTAGACCGATCTGCCAACCTGACATGTGAAAGAGTTTTCCATTACATTTAGTTTTGGAACCTAAGAAAAGTATGTGAATAAAATTTTTTATTGTCAGAAGTTGGGATTCGAACACACGCCCACATAAGTGGACTTCGACCTTAACGCAGCGCCGTAGACCGCTCGGCCATCCTGACACGCAAAATAGCTTTCCCTTGCATTTAGTTCTTTAACCTAACAAAAAATGGCTGAATAAAAATGCATTGTCAGAAGTGGGATTTGAACCCACGCCCAAAGAAGTGGACTGCGACCTGAACGCAGCGCCTTAGACCGCTCGGCCATCCTGACACGTGGGAGAGTGTTACCTTTCATTTAATTAATGAGAACTTAAAAAATGAATGAATGAAATATAATTGTCAAACGTGAAATCCGAAACCTCGCCTGCAGAATTTTACTGCGAACTGAACGGAGCGCTTTAGACCACTCAGGAATCTTAACCTATGAAAGATCTTTGCCTTACATTTAGTTTATGAAAACTAAAAAAAATAATGACTCAATAAAATTACATTATCAGAAGTGGGATTCGAACCCACGCCAAAACCGAGTGGACTTCGACATGAACGCAGCACCTTTGACTGCTTGGCCAGCCTGAAATTTGAGAAACCGTTTCCTTTAATTTACTTTATGAGAACTAAAAAAAAATAACTAAATATAATTGCTGGACGTGGGATTTGAACCCCGAACACGCAAGTGGACTGCGACCTGATTGCAGCGCCTTAGACCGCTCGGCGATCCTGACACGTGCGAGAGCGTTTCCTTACATTTAAGTTATGAGAACTAAAAAAAAATGACTGAATGAATTTTTATTGTCAGAAGTGGGAATTGAACCCACGCCCAAAGAAGTGGACTGCGACCTGAACGCAGCGCCTTAGACCGCTCGGCCATCCTGACACGCAAAATAGCTTTCCCTTGCATAAAGTTTTTTAACCTCAAAAAATGACTAAAAGAAATACATTGTCAGAAGTGGGATTCGAACCAACGCCCACGCAAGTGGACTACGACCTGATAGCAGCGCCTTTAACCGCTCGTCCATCCTGACACGCAAAATAGCTTTCCCCTTGCATTTAGTTCTTTAACCTCTAATAATGACTGAATAGAAATGCATTGTCAGAAGTGGGATTCGAACCCACGCCCACACAAGTGGACTACGACCTGATAGCAGCGCCTTAAACAGCTCGGCCATCCTGACACGCAAAATAGCTTTATGCATTTAGTTCTTTAACCTCAAAAAATTACAATAGAAATACATTGTCAGAAGTGGGATTCAAACCCACGCCCACAAAAGTGGACTGCGACCTGAACGCAGCGCCTTAGACCGCTCGGCCATCCTGACACGTGGGAGAGTGTTTCCTTTCATTTAATTAATGAGAACTTATAAAAATAAATAAATGAAATATAATTGTCACATGTGGCATCCAAAACCAAGCCTTCAGAATTTTACTGCGACCTGAACGCAGCGCTTTAGACCACTCAAGAATCTTAACCTATGAAAGATCTTTGCCTTACATTTAGTTTATGAAAACTAAAAAAAATAATGACTCAATATAATTATATTTTCAGAAGTGGGATTCGAACCCCGCCAAAACCAAGTGGACTTCGACATGAACGCAGCGCCGTTGACCGCTTGGCCATCCTGAAGATTGAGAAAACGTTTCCTTTAATTTACTTTATGACAATTAAAAAAATAACTAAATATAATTGCTCGACGTGGGAGTTGGTCCCCGAACACGCAAGTGTACTGCGACCTGATTGCAGCGCCTTAGACCGCTCGGCCATCCAGACACGTGCGAGAACATTTCCTTACATTTAAGTTATGAGAACTAAAAAAAAAATGACTGAATAAAATTCTATTGTCAGAAGTGGGACTCGAACCCACGCCCACAGAAGTGGCCTGCGACCTGAACGCAGCGCCTTAGACAGCTCGGTCATCCTGACACGCAAAATAGCTTTCCCTTGCATGTAGTTTTTAACCTCAAAAAATGACTGAAAGAAATACATTGTCAGAATTTAGTTAGGACCTGATTTTAAACCGCTCGGCCACCTGACACGCAAAATAGCTTTACCTTGACAATAGAAATACATTGTCAGAAGTGGGATTCAAACCCACGCCCACACAAGTGGACTGCGACCTGAACGCAGCGCCTTAGACCGCTCGGCCATCCTGACACGTGGGAGAGTGTTTCCTTTCATTTAATTAATGAGAACTTATAAAAATGAATAAATAAAATATAATTGTCAAATGTGGAATCCAAAACCAAGCCTGCAGAATTTTACTGCTACCTGAACGCAGCGCTTTAGACCACTCAAGAATCTTAACCTATGAAAGATCTTTGCCTTACATTTAGTTTATGAAAACTAAAAAAATAATGACTCAATAAAATTATATTATCAGAAGTGGGATTCGAACCCCACCAAAACCGAGTGGACTTCGACATTAACGCAGCGCCGTTGACCGCTTGGCCATCCTGAAGATTGAGAAAACGTTTCCTTTAATTTACTTTATGACAATTAAAAAAAATAACTAAATATAATTGCTCGACGTGGGAGTTGGTCCCCCGAACACGCAAGAGTACTGCGACCTGATTGCAGCGCCTTAGACCGCTCGGCCATCCAGACACGTGCGAGAGCATTTCCTTACATTTAAGTTATGAGAACTAAAAAAAAAAATGACTGAATAAAATTTTATTGTCAGAAGTGGGATTCGAACCCACGCCCACAGAAGTGACTGCGACCTGAACGCAGCGCCTTAGACGGCTCGGCCATCCTGACACGCAAAATAGCTTTCCCTTGCATGTAGTTTTTAACCTCAAAAAATGACTGAAAGAAATACATTGTCAGAAGTAGGATTCGAACCCACGCCCACGCAAGTGGACTAGGACCTGATTGCAGCGCCTTAAACCGCTCGGCCATCCTGACAGCGCCATGTAGTTTTTAACCTCAAAAAAATGACGAAATACATTCGGCCATCCTGAACGAAACGTGGGAGGGTGTTACCTTTCATTTAATTAATGAGAACTTTAAAAATGAATGAATGAAATATAATTGTTAAACGTGAAATCCGAAACAACGCCTCCGCACAATTTTACTGCGACCTGAACGCCGCGATTTAGACCACTCAGGAATCTTAACTTATGAAACATATTTGCCTTACATTTAGTTTATGAAAACTAAAAAAAATGACTCAATAAAATTACATTATCAAAAGTGGGATTCGAACCCACGCCAAAACCGAGTGGACTTCCTCGACATGAAAGCAGCACCTTTGACTGCTTGGCCAGCCTGAAATTTGAGAAACTGCTTTAATTTACTTTATGAGAACTAAAAAAAAAAAAAATAACTAAATATAATTGCTGGACTGGGATTTGAACCCCGAACACGCAAGTGGACTGCGACCTGATTGCAGCGCCTTAGACCGCTCGGCGATCCTGACACGTGCGAGAGCGTTTCCTTACATTTAAGTTATGAGAACTAAAAAAAAAATGACTGAATGAATTTTTATTGTCAGAAGTGGGATTTGAACCCACGCCCACAGAAGTGGACTGCGACCTGAACGCAGCGCCTTAGACCGCTCGGCCATCCTGACACGCAAAATAGCTCTCCCTTGCATAAAGTTTTTTAACCTCAAAAAATGACTAAAAGAAATACATTGTCAGAAGTGGGATTCGAACCAACGCCCACGCAAGTGGACTACGACCTGATTGCAGCGCCTTAAACCGCTCGTCCATCCTGACACGCAAAATAGCTTTCCCTTGCATTTAGTTCTTTAACCTCTAATAATGACTGAATAGAAATGCATTGTCAGAAGTGGGATTCGAACCCACGCCCACACAAGTGGACTGCGACCTGCCCACCTGATGCCATTTTGCGTGTCAGGATGGCCGAGCGGTCTAAGGCGCTGCGTTCAGTCGCAGTCCATCCGTTGGCGTGGGTTCGAATCCCAATTTCCTGAAAATAAAATTTTATTCACATACTTTCTTAGGAAAACTAAATGTAAGGAAAACTCTTTCACATGTCAGGATGGCCGATCGGTCTAAGGCACTGCGTTTAGATCACATTCCACTTCTGTGGGCGTGGGTTCGAATCCCACTTCTGACAATAGAGTTTTATTCAGACATTTTTTTTAGTTCTCATAACTTAAATATAAGGAAATGCTCTCGCACGTGTCTGGATGGCCGAGCGGTCTAAGGCACTGCAATCAGGTCGCAGTCCACTTGCGTGTTCGGGGGTCCAACTCCCACGTCGAGCAGGCCGCGGTAGCCGAGTGGAATAGGTATCGGACCGTGGCTTGCTTTGTCACGGGATCGAGCCCAGTACCACAAAAGACCCGCCGTGTAGGGCAGCGATGCACGTTAAAACTGTCGAGAGCTGAAACGTCCTCCCGTTGGTGTGGTAGTTAGGAGAGGGGGGTGCCAGCTCAGGTGTCGTCCACGCCTCTTGACCATGGTTTAAAATTACGAGGTCAGTCGCCAAAAGCCCTCGTGTAGCTGAACAGTGCGACGTTAATATTCAATCAATCAATCAACCCACGTCGAGCAATTATATTTAGTTATTTTTTTTAGTTCTCATAAAGTAAATTAAAGGAAACGTTTTCTCAAATTTCAGGATGGCCAAGCGGTCAAAGGCGCTGCGTTCATGTCGATTTCCACTCTGTTTTGGCGTGGGTTCGAATCCCACTTCTGATAATATAAGGTCCACGTGTATGGCATCCTGACACGTGGGAGAGTGTTTCCTTTCATTTAATTAAAGAGAACTTAAAAAAATGAATGAATGAAATATAATTGTCAAATGTGGAATCCGAAACCACGCCTGCAGAATTTTACTGCGACCTGAACGCAGCGCTTTCGACCACTCAGGAATCTTAACCTATGAAAGATCTTTGCCTTACATTTAGTTTATGAAAACTAAAAAAATAATGACTCAATAAAATTATATTATCAGAAGTGGGATTCGAACCCCGCCAAAACCGAGTGGACTTCGACATGAACGCAGCGCCGTTGACCGCTTGGCCATCCTGAAGATTGAGAAAACGTTTCCTTTAATTTACTTTATGACAATTAAAAAAAATAACTAAATATAATTGCTCGACGTGGGAGTTGGTCCGCCGAACACGCAAGTGTACTGCGACCTGATTGCAGCACCTTAGACCGCTCGGCCATCCAGACACGTGCGAGAGCATTTCCTTACATTTAAGTTATGAGAACTAAAAAAAAAAAAAAAAAAAATGACTGAATAAAATTCTATTGTCAGAAGTGGGACTCGAACCCACGCCCACAGAAGTGGACTGCGACCTGAAGACGGCTCGGCCATCCTGACACGCAAAATAGCTTTCACTTGCATGTAGTTTTTAACCTCAAAAAATGACTGAAAGAAATACATTGTCAGAAGTAGGATTCGAACCCACGCCCACGCAAGTGGACTAGGACCTGATTGCAGCGCCTTAGACCGCTCGGCCATCCTGAAACGTGGGAGGGTGTTACCTTTCATTTAATTAATGAGAACTTAAAAAATGAATGAATGAAATATAATTGTTAAACGTGAAATCCGAAACAACGCCTGCACAATTTTACTGCGACCTGAACGCCGCGATTTAGACCACTCAGGAATCTTAACTTATAAAACATATTTGCCTTACATTTAGTTTATGAAAACTAAAAAATAAATGACTCAATAAAATTACATTATCAAAAGTGGGATTCGAACCCACGCCAAAACCGAGTGGACTTCGACATGAAAGCAGCACCTTTGACTGCTTGGCCAGCCTGAAATTTGAGAAAAAGTTTCCTTTAATTTACTTTATGAGAACTAAAAAAAATAACTAAATATAATTGCTCGACCTGGGAGTTGGACCCCCGAACACGCAAATGTACTGCGACCTGATTGCAGCGCCTTAAACCGCTCGGCCTTCCAGACACGTGCGAGAGCATTTCCTTACATTTAAGTTATGAGAACTAAAAAAAAAAAAAAAAAAAAAAAAAAAAAAAGACTGAAGAAAATTTTATTGTCAGAAGTGGGATTCGAACCCAAGCCCACAGAAGTGGAAAGTGATCTAAACGCAGCGCCTTAGACCGATCGGCCATCCTGACATGTGAAAGAGTTTTTCCTTACATTTAGTTTTTGGAACCTAAGAAAAGTATGTGAATAAAATTTTATTGTCAGAAGTGGGATTCGTACCCACGCCCACAAAAGTGGACTGCGACCTGAACGCAGCGCCTTAGACCGCTCGGCCATCCTGACACGTGGGAGAGTGTTTCCTTTCATTTAATTAATGAGAACTTATAAAAATGAATAAATGAAATATAATTGTCAAATGTGGAATCCAAAACCAAGCTTGCAGAATTTTACTGCGACCTGAACGCAGCGCTTTAGACCACTCAAGAATCTTAACATATGAAAGATCTTTGCCTTACATTTAGTTTATGAAAACTAAAAAAATAATGACTCAATAAAATTATATTATCAGAAGTGGGATTCGAACCCCGCCAAAACCGAGTGGACTTCGACATGAACGCAGCGCCGTTGTTCGCTTGGCCATCCTGAAGATTTAGAAAACGTTTCCTTTAATTTACTTTATGACAATTAAAAAAATAACTAAATATAATTGCTCGACGTGGGAGTTGATCCCCGAACACGCAAGTGTACTGCGACCTGATTGCAGCGCCTTAGACCGCTCGGCCATCCAGACACGTGCGAGAGAGTTTCCTTACATTTAAGTTATGAGAACTAAAAAAAAAAGACTGAATAAAATTTTATTGTCAGAAGTGGGAATCGAACCCACGCCCACAGAAGTGGACTGCGACCTGAACGCAGCGCCTTAGACTGCTCGGCCATCCTGACACGCAAAATAGCTTTTTACCTTGCATTTAGTTCTTTAACCTCAAAAAATGACAATAGAAATACATTGTCAGAAGTGGGATTCAAACCCACGCCCACAAATGTTGACTGCGACCTGAACGCAGCGCCTTAGACCGCTCGGCCATCCTGACACGTGGGAGAGTGTTTCCTTTCATTTAATTAATGAGAACTTATAAAAATGAATAAATGAAATATAATTGTCAAATGTGGAATCCAAAACCAAGCCTGCAGAATTTTACTGCGACCTGAACGCAGCGCTTTAGACCACTCAAGAATCTTAACCTATGAAAGATCTTTGCCTTACATTTAGTTTATGAAAACTAAAAAAATAATGACTCAATAAAATTATATTATCAGAAGTGGGATTGGAACCCCGCCAAAACCGAGTGGATTTCGACAAAAACGCAGCGCCGTTGACCGCTTGGCCATCCTGAAGATTGAGAAAACGTTTCCGTTAATTTACTTTATGACAATTAAAAAAAACTAAATATAATTGCTCGACGTGGGAGTTGGTCCCCGAACACGCAAAGTGTACTGCGACCTGATTGCAGCGCCTTAGACCGCTCGGCCATCCAGACACGTGCGAGAGTTACATTTAAGTTATGAGAACTAAAAAAAAAAATGACTGAATAAAATTCTATTATCAGAAGTGGGACTTGAACCCACGCCCACAGAAGTGGACTGCGACCTGAACGCAGCGCCTTAGACGGCTCGGCCATCCTGACACGCAAAATAGCTTTCCCTTGCATGTAGTTCTAACCTCAAAAAATGACTGAAAGAAATACATTGTCAGAAGTAGGATTCAAACCCACGCCCACGCAAGTGGACTGGACCTGATTGCAGCGCCTTAAACCGCTCGGCCATCCTAAAACGTGGGAGGGTGTTACCTTTCATTTAATTAATGAGAACTTAAAAAAAGGACTGAATAAATTTTATTGTCAGAAGTGGAATTCGAACCTACGCCCACAGAAGTGGACTGCGACCTGAACGCAGCGTATTTGACCGCTCGGCCATCCTGACACGCAAAATACTTGCATAAAGTTTTTTAACCTCAAAAAATGACTGAAAAAATACATTGTCAGAAGTGGGATTTGAACCAACGCCCACGCATATTACGTGATTATGAAACCGCTCGTCCATCCTGACAAAAAAAAGCTTTCCTTGCATTTAGTTCTTTAATAAAAATGACTGAATGAAATGCATTGTGAGAAGTGGGATTCGAACCCACGCCCACACAAGTGGACTTCGACCTGAACGCAGCACTTTAGACTGCTCGGCCATCCTGAAATTTGAGAAAATGTTCCCTTTAATTTACTTTATGAGAACTAAAAAAAATAACTCAACTAAATATAATTGCTCGACGTGGGAGTTGGACCCCCGAACGCGCAAGTGTACTGCGACCTGATTGCAGCGCCTTAGACCGCTCGGTCATCCTGACACGTGCGAGAGCGTTTCTTTACATTTAAGTTATGAGAACTAAAAAAAAAAAAAAAAGACTGAATAAAATTTTATTGTCAGAAGTGGGAGTCGAACCCACGCCCCCAGAAGTGGACTGCGACATGAACGAAGCGCCTTAGACCGCTCGGCCATTCTGACACTTAAAAGATCTTTCCCTTGCATTTAGTTTTTTAACTTTAAAAGATGACTGAATAGAAATACATTGTCAGAAGTGGGATTCGAACCCACGCCCACGCAAGTGGACTGCGACCTGATTGCAGCGCTTTAAACCGCTCGGCCATCGTGACACGCAAAATAGCTTTCCCTTGCATTTAGTTCTTTAACCTCAAAAAATGACTGAAAAAACATTGTCAGAAGTAGGATTCGAACCCACGCCCACGCAAGTGGACTAGGACCTGATTGCAGCGCCTTAAACCGCTCGGCCATCCTGACACGCAAAACAGCTTTCCCTTGCATGTAGTTTTTAACCTCAAAAAATGACTGAAAGAAATACATTGGCAGAAGTGGGATTCAAACCCACGCCCACACAAGTGGACTGCGACCTGAACGCAGCGCCTTAGACCGCTCGGCCATCCTGAAACGTGGGAGGGTGTTACCTTTCATTTAATTAATGAGAACTTAAAAAATGAATGAATGAAATATAATTGTTAAACGTGAAATCCGAAACAACGCCTGCACAATTTTACTGCGACCTGAACGCCGCGATTTAGACCACTCAGGAATCTTAACTTATAAAACATATTTGCCTTACATTTAGTTTATGAAAACTAAAAAATAAATGACTCAATAAAATTACATTATCAAAAGTGGGATTCGAACCCACGCCAAAACCGAGTGGACTTCGACATGAAAGCAGCACCTTTGACTGCTTGGCCAGCCTGAAATTTGAGAAAAAGTTTCCTTTAATTTACTTTATGAGAACTAAAAAAAATAACTAAATATAATTGCTCGACCTGGGAGTTGGACCCCCGAACACGCAAATGTACTGCGACCTGATTGCAGCGCCTTAAACCGCTCGGCCTTCCAGACACGTGCGAGAGCATTTCCTTACATTTAAGTTATGAGAACTAAAAAAAAATGACTGAATAAAATTCTATTATCAGAAGTGGGACTCGAACCCACGCCCACAGAAGTGGACTGCGACCTGAACGCAGCGCCTTAGACGGCTCGGCCATCCTGACACGCAAAATAGCTTTCCCTTGCATGTAGTTTTTAACCTCAAAAAATGACTGAAAGAAATACATTGGCAGAAGTGGGATTCAAACCCACGCCCACACAAGTGGACTGCGACCTGAACGCAGCGCCTTAGACCGCTCGGCCATCCTGACACGTGGGAGAGTGTTTCCTTTCATTTAATTAATGAGAACTTATAAAAATGAATAAATGAAATATAATTGTCAAATGTGGAATCCAAAACCAAGCCTGCAGAATTTTACTGCGACCTGAACGCAGCGCTTTAGACCACTCAAGAATCTTAACCTATGAAAGATCTTTGCCTTACATTTAGTTTATGAAAACTAAAAAAATAATGACTCAATAAAATTATATTATCAGAAGTGGGATTCGAACCCCGCCAAAACCGAGTGGACTTCGACATGAACGCAGCGCCGTTGACCGCTTGGCCATCCTGAAGATTGAGAAAACGTTTCCGTTAATTTACTTTATGACAATTAAAAAAAATAACTAAATATAATTGCTCGACGTGGGAGTTGATCCCCCGAACACGCAAGTGTACTGCGACCTGATTGCAGCGCCTTAGACCGCTCGGCCATCCAGACACGTGCGAGAGCATTTCCTTACATTTAAGTTATGAGAACTAAAAAAAAATGACTGAATAAAATTCTATTGTCAGAAGTGGGACTCGAACCCACGCCCACAGAAGTGGACTGCGACCTGAACGCAGCGCCTTAGACGGCTCGGCCATCCTGACACGCAAAATAGCTTTCCCTTGCATGTAGTTTTTAACCTCAAAAAATGACTGAAAGAAATACATTGGCAGAAGT